ACATATCTAGACTCCCTGCGTCTGGTGACTTCTGGTGAAAGCTGATGCATTTCTCACCCTCCGGGAGTCCCTCCCAGTCCACTGTGCCTGAAGCCACCTGTCTGAACATCTCCGTCAGGCCAGCAGCAGGCGAGGAGTCAGAGGAGACCTACCTCTTCTTTCTCACCTTGACAGCTGTCCCCCTTCCAGCCACTTCAGAGGCAGGGGAGCCCCAGGGGTGGTTAGGGGTAGGTCTTCAGATAGGGTGGGGGCTCTCCAGGAAGTGGCTAGCAGAAAGAGCAGTCCGTCAAACCTGTGAGAACAAGGAGCGTGAAGTGAGACACATAACCTTGGAAATGGTGGCATTTACCTGGTCCCTGTGGCCTCCTGAGCTGTAGTACTAGTTGAACGGCCACTAATTTGATTCACAGGAGAGATCTGACCCTACTCCACCCGGCTCTCGCCAGCCTGGGTATCCCTTATTTACAGAGAGTACATGGAGCCTTTTACATTTTTGTCAGTTGTTTAGGAACTCGCATTCCTCTTTGCCACTCGGTCCCTGGTGACCAAGGTCCCAACAGCGAAGACACCCCGCACCCCACTGCACTGTGCTGCCTAATCTATTAGCGAGCTGGAGCTAGCAGGAGGTGGGGGGCGGGGGGCCGTTTATTTGATTGTCGTATCATTTATGTGGCTGTGACTTCCAGTGCTATTATCTTTGTTTAGCACAAACGGAGAGCAGTTAGCGCTCCTGGTAATCTATCTCGGAATCAAAAAGCTATGGAGACAGAGACGGCCTCCTCTCCAAGCCTTTATCCCCTTCCACCATCATTTTCCCAGCTGGGAGCGGGCGACGACCCTGCTTCCAATATGCTGCTCAATGATTTTAGATGATTGATCTTTCTAAAGTGCTTTTCCGCTTCTTGCCACACAGACGCGGATAGATTAAGCAATTATGGATTATTTCAACATCAAATGGCCCAAGACAATTAGCCAGAAGAGAAGCAAAGAAGTGGTCCTGCTGGCTTTTGGGGTGGGGGAGGTTTTCAGAGGAGTTAAAGGTGGAAGCCAGGATAGATTTGCCCATTGGGATGGAAAGAGGAGGACATGGGGCTCAGCTGATCTAAGAAGAAAAAATAATATATATATATTTATATATTTATACAGTGGCAGCGGTTAGCATTTTTTTTTTTTTTATTGTATGATGGCATAAAGAAACCTCACCAACTTTGAATCAAACTAGCACTTCCAAATAGCATTCCTTTAAGGGAGATTGGATTGCTGGTGCTTCTTGGAGGGGGAAAAAAAAAAGTTGCCAGAGGGAGAGACTGAGTAGTGCATGTAATAAAAGACAATAGATGAGACAGTCTCTGAATGGATCTCCCAGCTCTAAATCACCCCCCAGGCCCGGCTGCCGCAGTGCACACTTCCCCAGCAGGGCCCTCATGGTTTATGGTGTCGGCAGCACTCCGGGGAGTGAGTTACAGCCTTGCAGGCAGTGGGCGGCTATCTGTTACCCTACATGTAAACAGGTATTCAAATCCGGACTCCGGAACCTTCGCCTTGGCATTTAATCTTCCCGGTAATCTAACCCCCGTCCCCCCGCCAAGGTCGCTATTTGGATTGCGTGACTTTCAGACTCTTCTCTGGCACTGAAGTCAGGAGCAGCCGGGCTGACAGCCGCCCAACTCATCAACCGGGCTGACAGGCCCAAAAATTAACTTTGATATTTTGTGTGGAATAATTCAGTGGCAATTGGGCCAGATGATGTTCTGTAACCTAAATTCAATTTCCATCACCGGGAAGCATCACAGAGCTAGTCACCCGCTTGCCAAGAGCACCTAGCAATCTAGGAGTCCGTGTGCGTGCGTGTGTGTGCGTGTGTGTGTGTGTGTGTGCGCGCTATGCACCTGTCATTGCTCTTCATACACGAGAGGTTCTTATGTACATGATGTATTTGCAGGGGTGGCCATTGATTATCTGAGGATGGTTATCTGGGCCCTGTCCTTTCTTGCCTCCTTTACTGTCTGTGCTGAATTCTCTCCTTTCCCTGTGGTGAGGGGCAGACGCGCAGGGGAGGGGTGTTGGAGAGGGAGGGGAAGTGTAAAACATGCCATTATGCTCCTTAGCAGTTCTCAAAAAAGCCTGGGGATGAAGGGAGACGTAGCTCTAACGTGAAGTTTGGGCCTTACCGATGGCTTCTGTGAGAAACCCCCTCCCCGCCTCGGGCAGAGTAGTACTGTGGGAGGCACAGAGCCAACCAAGATGGTTGGTCAGGAGTGGAATCCCGGCTGGGTCTCTTCCCAGATATGGGCCTCCTTGGCTCACTTTATCCCTGAAGCCTCAGTTTCTCTGTTTGGGGAAACATGGGGAAAATAATTCTCCCGGGACTTGGCCCAGAGTGGGTGTTGGAAGACAACAGCTGTCCCTGGTCAGAAAACAGAACACTTTTGAGTGTGCTGCCCTCTATGCCCTCGTCCCTTGGGAGGTGCTCCCCCTGCTGATTTATCCCTCCAAAGGGCAGATGCCACCTTCAAGTCACTGGAGACCAGTGCTTCTCTGAAGGGAAGAAGTGGTGGGGTTACAGAGTACATCCTTCCAAGGTAGTCACCAAATCATGGCCATTAGGACTCGCATGTGGGCATTTGCCAGAATGAGACCCTGAGGGTTGGCCAGCGCAAGTGATCTGCTTAATGCCGCACCGTTGCAGACCCCAGATCGCCGGTCTGGTCCCACTCACAGTGCAGAGCCACTGTCCCTGCTCCCTCCCCGCGAGGGGGTTGGAGATTTGACCTTAGGGCAGGGCCACGGGACTGACAAGGGGATTGGTTAAGCTTCTTTCGGAGGAGGGCTAACCCAGAATTCTGCTCACTTGAACGTGGCGCTCCTGCCTGAGTTTTTTGACAGTCCCTCCATCACCGTTGACTTAGGTGCCATGGTGGAAAATTGCATCCCTTGCCTTGCAGTCGGGTGAGGTTGGGCGGAGGGCTGGTTTCAGAAGGAGAAAAGGAGAGAGAGGACAAGAATCAGAGGTCCTCTTCAGGTACCAGAACATACAGCGCCTTGCCTGACCTCCCCGGAGCCCTTCCCATCTTGTCCCTCTCCCTGCTGCCATCTGACTCCAGCCCTAGGGCTCTCGTCTGTGACGTCTTGCTGCCACCAAAGGCAGATTCTGACTGGATTTACGTTCATAATCCGGAGTCTAGGCCACCAATTAATGTCTCTTCCTGGTGAGGCCCCACATCTAAATGTGAATCCAACGGGCCTTGGCAGTGTGTGGGAGGCCATTTGCCAAACGTCTGCATCGTATCTGTCCCCTCCTGTCTCCCCAGGCGATGGTCTTGTTCATTTAAATACAGACATGCCCACGTTTGTTGAGGACCATGTATTTTTTTTTCTTCTTTAAATAGAAATGCCATGTGTGTGATGTTTTCTTTGAAAAGGAAAGCCCAGGGATCGTCTGCATCAGGTTATGAAATGATCCCAGGGTCCATTCCTGGCTCTAAGCAAGTTGAGTATACATCACCTCGTTTAATTCAGCAATATCATCAATGTCAGTGCGTATCCACCGGCTGTTGGCTATTGGTCATCCGGACCTGACACAAACTCAATAAATACTCCATAACCCCTGACAGCCGCTAGCAGATTAGCCTGAAATGAGCGATTGCCCAGCCAACACCTGCTGAACCAAATCAGTCCCGTGACGGATGGGCCTGTACTGAGCTCTGACCACGAGTGAGATCAGTGGAAGAATGATTTTATACTTTAAGAAAAGAATTAGAGATGGTGGTGGCTGGAGTGATTGGAAAGCTTTCAGAGGGGACCGTTTTTCTTCTCTTTCTTCCTCTTCCCCCGACAGATCCCCTGCTGCAGCTCCCCTCCCACACCTGAGTCCATTACGCTCCCCAAGCTCCTGAGCCCACGGAGGAAACAAAGTGGGGGAACTGGACACAGCCGAGGCCAGAGCTGGGAGCTGCTTTTGGGCACATGCGGAATGTCAGAGGGGCCACACTGAGGGGACCAAGAGCCACCTCAGGGCCATCTGGGGAGCGGCCATCGGATCGCTTGGTGTAGCGGGATGGCCATTCTGGGCTGGGCAGGGAGCAGGGCACTCACCACACCCGAAGGGGAAGCTGAGGCTAAGGATCCCAGGCGGGGCCCGGCCTGACTATAAACTGTTGGGCTTCCTCTTGCCTTGTAGCAACCATTAGTGGGGACTTTCAATCTTCAGAGGCCGCTCCCACTTGTATTGTCTAGATTCGAACAAACTAGGCTTGGTGAACAAATGAAAATGCAAACAAATCCAAACTCTTTGTTTGAGTTCTTGTTCTTTTGCTTAATAGATGGGAGACTCGACATCTGAGTCAGCTGGACAATCTCGTGAGCCTCAGTCTACTTATGTGTCAAATGACGATAATCCAATCTACCCCTTCTTCTGGTTTCTTTTTAGTTAAGCCAGTCTTTGGCACCCAGAACATTTGTACTGGTCTCCTGTAAATTATTATTTTTCTGATTGGATAACAATTTGGCTTTGTGACATCGGCCTGCACTGAGGGATGTTTTAAAAAACAGACCCATGAAGCTCCCTGCTGTGTGTTTACAGAAGGGTTGCTCTGAGGATGTTACTCACTAAATCACAGGACCCTTTCCACGTGGGCCTAGGGGAGGCATTTCTGTTTGGTTTCAGTTCCAGGAACTGTTATGTTTATCTTGAACAACTGTTTAGGTTTTATGTTATGAACTCTGAATTGTATAAATGATCCCATTTTCTTTTGTGTTGGGGATTAGAAAATGCGGAGCCAAATTAGTGGCCCGTCTCTCACTAGTGTGTTGAATTCCACAGTGTGTGTCACTGCTTTGATACTTCTATATTTATCTGCTACTCAAATATATTATATATATATATATATATATATATATATATATATTTTGCCTCAGTTCTCTTGTTTTAAATGTATTTTATTTTGTGGAATGATGTGGGGGTGTTTTCTAAGCTACCTCCTATTCTGTGTTGGTACTAGGCGGGGGTTTTAAGTAAATCAAGACACTGCCCGGGGCTGGGACAGCGCTCCTGGACTTCTTGCCCACTTGCTGGGACAGGTGAGGTGAGCACAAGGCTCTTCAGTGGTGGCCAGAATGCAAGCACGGCTCTCCGATTTTTGAGAAGGAAGGGTAGGTTTTTGCCCCCAAAGTCCCTGTTAACTAAGAGGCAACTCGTTCTGGTGAGGCCAGGAGCATGGACTAGTGGGCATCCTGCAGGCCAGGGCCAGGAGAGGGAGCCGCTGAGAGCCTCCCAACGCCCTCTCCTTCACGCCCCAGGGCCTGGCCGGTTAGGGTTGAGGCTGGCCCAGGTAAGAGAGAAGAGAAAGCCTTACAGAGGTGGTTCACCCTCCCTCCCTCTCTTGCTCGGGAGTTGCAGCAAGCCCACAAAGGCCCCGCCCCGGCTGCTTCAGGCTAGATCACCACTGGGAATGCAGGGCAGCATCACCCAAGCTTGCTTGCCCCCTGCCTAATGGTGTCTGTGATGCTGCTTAGCTGTCTGCTCATGCTTACAAACGCGGCTGGTCTTAGTGAATCTTGGTGGGCAACCCCATGCCCCTTCTGCCTCCAAAGCTTCCAGAGTTTTCTGTTGTCCTCACAGGTCAGTACCTGCCCCTCAGTGCTCTCATTCCCTTTCCTTCATGGGTCACCAGGCCAGCGTTCCTTTCCCTCTTTACCTTCTTCTCGGTATCTGAACATTAAAAACAGCCTCTGGGCTTTATTTAGCTCAACAAAATCCATCTTAGCCTCAGCCCTTCTTGGAGATCCCTGATGGCATCTCTGCTGATTTTTGCTCCAGAGTAAGTCAGTGGGCCGATGCACATTAGCATCATGGGGCAGGGGCTGGGGGGAGCTTTGGAACACATACTCATGCCCCTGCCACCCCAGATCAACTGGAACCCCTTCTCGGGGGCAGGGGTTGGAGGTGGGGAGTGGCACTGGGCATCTGGAGCGTTCTTTGGGGGTTGAAGGCATAGGGGAGTGGTGCATGCAGGGGGCAAGCAGAGGTTTGATTAAACCCCTCAGACTTTGGAGAGATGCTTAGCTCATGAATGAAAGCTGAAGGCCCATTGATGGTCAATAGCTGTCAGCTACATCACATCCCGGCTCCGGGTGCCCTGTGGAGTGGGAGGCGGCAGATGGAAGGGACAGCAGAAGAGAAGGCGAGGAGAGGAGGAGCCATGTGTCCGGCAAGATCTCTCGGTGACACTCATTCCCAAGAGGGCTGGCACGTGCCGTGCCCCAGGTGTGCATTATGGGAGAGGGGCTCTACCCTGCGCTGCAGTGGGCACATAGCCATCCCCGCAGCGAGGCGGGCAGCGAGCTGGGGTTGGGAAGATGGGGACGTTTCAGAACACTGTGAGCCTCTGGAAAGGTTACGGGAGGCTGTTTTCCTTCCCCAGCCCCGTGACAGCAGCCTTTGCAGGTGGAGCACCGTCTCATTTATCTTGCACTGTCACGGGAGGACAGCGTTTCACTTAAGTGAATTTTCCTGAATTCCCAAGCTTGTTCTTTCTCAACCCCCAATTTAATTTACTTTAGGTATTCTGGATGGAAGCCTTTCTAAAATGTATTCTGCACCTTCTTATCTTTTGAGAAATGCAAGAGAGTTTAACCCCTTCTTGATGACCCTGCCTAATTTCTACGACCATCCAACACAAACACCGTTGTGCTCACTTCTAGCTTTGTCCATTCGCTCTGCCACCAACCTGTCAGCTGTCAATTCTCACTGCTGTTATTGAGCTGTCTCTAATGTCTCCTTTCTTCCATAGGACATCTTATATATGCTACATCCAATGTGCAGGGACAGGGAAGCCAAATATCTGAGATTGTTAGACTTTCATGTTAAGCAAGAGTGAAGAGGCTTTGACTGAGTGCCCTAGTACTTCTAAGCAATGCAGTCCACGAATTTGGGATAAGACTGTGCAGTAATTATTTTAGGTGTCCAGGCTTTCTCTGCTTGCACACATTGGAAGTTACTAGAAGTCAGACCTCAGGATAAGTGGGGGTGATGCTGTAGTGGGTTTGAAGAACAGTGTAAGTATTTTCCCCTGACTGTTCATTTTCAGGAATGTCATGTGTCTTATTCAACTAGCCGGGTCCCTACACTGGATGTGTTATTGCCTTCACCTGCCAGACGACCTGTCACTAGGTTTTTTTGTCTGCAGGTTTCATGAGTCTGGACTTTGTCTGACAAAGGGCCTTCCCATCTGGAAAGAAATGAAGATCAAAAGTCCCTTCAGGAATATGTCCAGGTCTTCAGGCTCAGAGAAAGGGCCCCAGTTTGAAGAGCTGTCAGACTCAGACAGATTCAGTGACATTTGGAAAGTAATTTGAATTACCAGAGGACCATGGATATTGGATGGTTGGCAAAAATGTCTCCCCCACACCTGCTGTCAGCACCAATCAACCGCTGGTCCAGCTTCCTCTAGAGAGGAGCATTGCCCTCACCTACATTTTGGTGTCTTATGGAGTTATATCATTTGGGTTGGCAGCCTGGGTGTGTTGCTGGCGAGAAATAATAGTCTGCGACTGGGATCATCCGCAGGGAAGATTCTGGGGTTTAGAAAGTTCTTCTCGGGTGTTCTGAGTTTTCCAGTAAGGATGGGGACTTGAGTACTTCCTCCATGATCACCACCATCATTGGGAGTCACCCATTACGGGCACATGGGGGCCGAACCCTCCAGCCATCCTACAAGGTGGGTGTCGTAAGTCCTGTTTTAAAGATCAGAAAGAGGCAGCTGGAAAGTGATGGAGCTGAGATTAGAACTTAGGTCTGCTGGTCAAACTCACAACGTTTGCTTCCTCTCTTGTCACTGGGCCTGGCTGCTCTTCTCTGTATCCTCAGTCTACTTAGAGGCCCTGGCCTCACACTCTTTTTGTGTGGTTGCCCATGGAGAGGGAATCAGGAGCTTGGTGGGATGATGGCAGGCCCCGGAAGGCAGAGATCAAGGCCAGGTGTTCGAGGGCACTGACATGGCCCTCCTACTCTGCAATCATTACTACTCATCTCCTCTGGGCCACCTGAAATCCCCAAAGTGGAGTTTGAATCCTTTAGCTTTAAGGTTTTTTTTTTCCCCCCAAGATGCAAAGATATAAATAACTCTGGAAAGGTACAACTTTAAGCTGTTACCACTTATTTGCAACTTTAGAAAAATAAGTTTCATGTTTTTTCTGGAGAGGAGATTTTTCTTGGAAAGGGGGCACGTGGAAAGCATGAGCCATTATGGGTTCAGATTAACCCACTGAGAGGTAGAAAAGGACACAGGCGGTGGACTGGAGGCACTAAGATCAAGTTCATCTCCTCGCAGCTTTATCAGGACTTGTTTGGGGGACAATGCTGAGGTTAGAGATCAGAAGCTACCCTGGAAAGTAGGTACTTGGTTCGTCCTACCGACAGCCCAGAAGACACCCGTGATGGGTGTAGGGTTGGGAGCCAAGCACTACATTGGTGATTCAGAAGCTATAAACACTAATCATGACCATGTCATCTTGCATAGCCTCCTGTTCCCTGGACCGGTCACCATCTATTCAAAACTTAAAGAAATCTTCCAGTACTTAGCAGCCCTTGGCACAAAGTAATTTGTTTAATATTAAACATTCTGTCCCAGATACACATTCGCACGAGGGATGGGGGGTGGATCCCATGTGTACTCCCCGCACCTGGGGCTGGTAGGAAGAAAGCACCCCAGGATGACACACGTCCATGTTGGAAGATAGAGTCACCTGCCCTCGTTGAGAGAGCTAAGCGGGCTTCTCTGGCATGCCTCAAGCTCCACATGAAGAAACACCATCTATTTCTGCCTGGTAGATAAGAGGAAATGGAATGACTTCCAGGCCTCAGGAAATGGTGTTGTCTAAAGATCGTATGTGCTCTGCTTCACCACCAGGCCGTGCCTTGGCCTAGCACCCAAATTCCTCCTGCTGACTTTTCAGCCTTCATACCCGATCAGTCCTCCACCCACCTTTCCTACCTCATCTGCACCTCACTGGCCCCGGACGCCTCCTTCCTAGTCACACTAGGCTCCTGATTACCGTGGAACACACACTACGCATTTGCCTCTCTTCCTCTTTGCCAAACCAGTCCCCACTGCCTGAAAAGGTCTTTGTTGAGACCCTTTGTTTGAGTCCTGACCCGATGATGGAGTTTGTTTTCTGAAATCATGTAGCCCTCGCAGTCAGTACTGGTCACCTAGTCCTTGATAATTTGCTCCCTTGGTTTGATTATTTTGTGGGCAAGATGCATATCTTCAGTGTCTTATCTGAAGGACTTAGCATGGTGCTGGCCCCCAGAAATTGCACAATAATGATATGATGATAGCAGTGTTTCCAAGTCAGTAGCTCCTTAGTATTCTAGGTGTTATTCACATGTGCCTTGTGAAACACGAGTTTTCTGGTCAAATATGTTTGGCAGGTGCTAAGTTAAATATGTTTCCTTTCTGCAGAACTTCTCAGAATCTGTATAATATGCAGAATTTCCTACTTATTTACTTGACTGTGGGGCCCTTCCTATGGACCTATTAACCTCTGTATACACTATCAGCATTGTGTTGGAAATCAGCTTGCACCAGCTTGCAAGAACCAGGTGTTGAATTTCCAGGAATTTTTCAAGCCAGTAGATGTCATATCGGTACTTTGAAATTGGCTCATAGTGGGGATATTTACACCACGGAAATTACTAAATGCTACAAATCAAGGCTCTTTACCCCCAGGGAGCCAGTCATTAAACATTTATCAGCACACTATGAACATGAGTCCTGCAGAGAACAACTTGGGAAATGCTGGATTATAGGGACCCAGAAGAGAGGGTAGTGGCAGGGGGAGAGAAAAAGAGAAAGGAGCAATTAATCTGGCAGCCAAAAGGTTATAGGATCCTTCTAAGAACTCTCCTAGGGGAGCGGCACACAGCATTGCTGGTGGGCCACAGAGGTGATAATGAAGATGATCTGATCTAACAAATGTGTGCGTCTCGCTCCAACTTAATTTGTTCCTTACTGCCTTACAGAGCTTGTTGCCAATTAACCAATTAGTAGCTAATTTAATTTCCTCATCAGGGTTGCAGCAGAAGGTTTTCTGATTTGAGTGTGAGGCATGCCAGGGCAGGTGCAAGCATGCTTCTGTGTCTCATAGTGACAGGTTGGCCTGCCTGGGCCCATGCATCTTTGGGGAGACAGAAGCTAGGCTGTTCGTTCCAAATATGCCACCATCTGGCTGAATGACCCTGGCCATGTCCTTATCCTCTCTGGACTGAGTTCTTCAGCTGCAAAATGAGGGGTTGAACCTGGCGACATTTTAGGGCCCTGTCTGTATTAGGGCTCTGAGTGACTTTCTCTGTTACTCTTACAGCCATTGTCCCAAGGGAAACAGACCAGTCCCCAGCCTGATTTTCTGAGACATCAGCTTCCGCAGGGCCCACACGCAGCTCAGACACAGTAACCTGTGGCCTTGGGAAGCCGAGTTTCTCCTGCAGGCAGGTGCCCTGGCCCAGTCCTGCCTGTTTGTCCTTTGGCAACTGAGAGAACCCACCCTTAGGCTTTGATTTCTTCCTTCAGAAACAGAGAATACCGTCCTCTCTTAACTGCAAGTGAGACCTTCTTTAAGTAACCCTACCAGATTCAAAACAAACCAGTTTGGGAACTGATTATCTACTTTACAAATGGATCATTCATTCTGGAAAATGATTCTTGAAAAAGACATTTTCCTTAGTGAAATTAAAATACAAGGCAATTCGGAATTCACTGCTGAGTGCTCCTCCTCTATGATTACCCACCTGATAGTTGCCAGTGGGAGTCCACCTTCTTTCCCTTCTGACTGTTCTCCTCCAGGTTCATTACCACTCCCTCGCGCCTGTTAGATCCCCTGACTGGTCTCTCCTCAGCCAGCCCTCACATCCAGCGTACCTTACGCAGGGCCTTATGTTATGTATACATTGATATTTAGGAATGCCCAAATCACAGCCCACCGCCCCCCCCATGCCTTTATTACTCTACTTACACTTGGACCCTCTCTAGATCCCAATCTGAGGGTTGAGAAAAGTTCTAGATCAAAAGCTTGGACTGTTCAACATTGGGTTCTGGTAGTATAGTAGAAAGAATTGCAAAAGCGTCAGAAGTGGTCATCGGTGAGTTCAAGGGCTGGGCTAGAGGAGGGCACCCTACCTGGTGTTCAGCTGCACACAAGTATGCAAAGGTAGAGAACGCTACCTTACTGAGAATAATTCTGTAAAGCCAAAATTCTTTTTCATAGAAAAAAATCACACCCTCGTAAACCCCTTTGGGACCCAGATTCTCTTAAAGCATGGGCACTGCAAGTATCCCTTTACCCTTCTCAATTCACGGATGCCCTGTGTTGTCTTGGTAGGCACTCATAAGAGTTTTACTGAGATGTAATTCACATACTATATATAATGTACCCATTTAAAGTGTACGCAATAGTTTTCAATGTATTTAAAAGTTGTAAAACCATCACAACAATTTTAGGACACTTTCATCACCTCCAAAAGAAATCTAAAACCCATTAGCAGTCACTTGTGCCTTGTGAAACACTTACCCCACCAGCCCTTGGCAGCCAACCAGTCTATTTTCCTTCTCTGTAGAGTTGCCTATTCTGATGTATCATAGAATCATATGTGGTCATTCATTACTGACTTCCTTTGCTTAGCCTAATATAGCCAAGGTTATAGAATGGATCAGTGCTTAATTTCTTTTTATTGCTGAATAATGCTCCATTATATGGATATATCACCTTTTTTTAAAAAAAAAGATTTTATTTATTTATTTAGTTGACACAGAGAGAGAGACAGCGAGAGAGGGAACACAAGCAGGGGGGAGTGGGAGAGGGAGAAACAGGCTTCCCGCTGAGCAGGGAGCTGATGCAGGGCTTGATCCCAGGACCCTGGAATCATGACCTGAGCTGAAGGCAGTCACTTAACCAACTGAGCCACCCAGGCGTCCCGATATATCACTTTTTAAATCTACTCATCAGTTGATGGGCATTTGGGTTGCTTCAGTTTTGGGCTATTATGAATAATGCTGCTGTCAACTTCATGTACAAGCCTTTTTGTAGATATTTGCAGTTTCTCCTAGGTATATACCTAAGAGTAGAATTGCTCGGTTATATACTAACTATGTTTAATGTTTCCAAGAAGTACCAAACCCTTTTCCATAATGCTGCCTCTTTTGCATTCTTACTAGTAACCTCTGAGGGTTCCAATTTCTCCCCATGTTCACCAACACTTGTTATTATCTGCCTTTTTTTTTTAAAAAATTTTATTTATTTATTTATTTGAGGAACAGAGACTGAGAGACAGACAGCACGAGAGGGAAGAGGGTCAGAGGGAGAAGCAGACTCCCGCTGAGCAGGGAGCCTGATGCGGGACTCGATCCTGGGATTCCAGGACCATGACCTGAGCCGAAGGCAGTCGCTTAACCAACTGAGCCACCCAGGTGCCCATTATCTGCCTTTTGATTATAGCCATCCTAGTGGTGTGAGGTGGTATCTCATTGTATCTCATTGTGTTCCTAATGACTAATGACGTTGAGTATCTTTTTGTGTGCTTATTGGTCATTTGTTTATCTTCTTTTGATGGATGTTTATTCAAATGCTTTACTCATTTTAAAACTGGATTTTTTTGTCTTTTTAATTTTGAGTGGTAAGAGGCTACAAATCTCTTATCAGATACATGATTTGTGAATATTTACTTTTGCTATGTGAGTTCTTTTTCACTTTCTTGATGGTAACATTTGTAGCACAAAAATATTTTTTTTATTGCTTGAATTTTGGTGTCGTATCTGAGAAATCAATGCCTAATTCAAGGGCATGAAGATTGACTCCTGTGTTTTCTTTTCAAAGTTTTATAGTTTCAGCTCCCACATTAAAGTCTATAATTTGTTTTGAGTTAATTTTTGTATATCATGAGAGGTAGGGTTCCAACTTCACTCTTTTGGATATACACATCCAGTTGTCCTGGCATCAAATAGGACAGTTGAAAACACTATTCTTTCTCCATTGAAATACCTTGACACCCTTGTTGAAAACCAATTGACCATACATGTAAGGGCTTATTTCTAGATTTTCAATTCCTAGGCTATTTATCTGTATGTCTGTCCTTACGCTTGTATAGCATTATCTGTATAATGCTATAAACTTGTATACAAGTTTAGCTATGTAGTAAGTTTTGAAATCAAGAAGTTCCAGTCCTTCAACTTCATTCTTCGTTTTCAAGATTGTTTTGGCTATTTTATGTCTCTTGGAATATCATGTGAATTTTAGGATCAACTTGTCGATTTCTGCCCAAAGATAAGTTGAGATTTTCAGAGAGATAATGTTGAAACTGTAGATCAATTCAGAGAATAATTTCATTTTAATAATATTAGCCTTCCACTCTGTGAAAATGGAATGTCTTTCCATTTACTTAGACCTTTAATTTATTTAAAAAGTGCTTTGTTCTTTGGAAAGAGCCAAGATGTCCATCAACAGATGAATGAATAAAGAAGATGTGGTATATATACACAATGGAATATTATGCAGCCATCAAAAGGAATGAGATCTTGCCATTTGCAACGACGTGGATGGAACTGGAGGGTGTTATGCTGAGTGAAATAAGTCAATCAGAGAAAGACATGTATCATATGACCTCACTGATATGAGGAATTCTTAATCTCAGGAAACAAACTGAGGGTTGCTGGAGTGGTGGAGGTGGGAGGGATGGGGTGGCTGGGTGATAGACATTGGGGAGGGTATGCGCTATGGTGAGCGCTGTGAAGTGTGCAAGACTGTTGAATCACAGATCTGTATACAATATATGTTAAGAAAAAAAAAGAAGATAGCATGAGGGGAAGAATGAAGGGGGGTAAATTGGAGGGGGAGATGAACCATGAGAGATGATGGACTCTGAAAAGGGGAGGGGGTTGGGAGGATGGCTTAGCCTGGTGATGGGTATTAAAGAGCGCACGTTCTGCGTAGAGCACTGCACAAACAATGAATCATGGAACACTACTTCAAAAACTAATGATGTAATGTATGGTGATTAACATAACAATAAAAAAATTTAAAGAAAAAAGTGCTTTGTAATTTTTAGTATACAAGTCTTGAGGTTCTGTTAAATTCATTCCCAGGTATTTTATTCTTTTTGTTGCTACTCTAGATGAAATTGTTTCCTTAATTTCGTTCTCATGTTGTTCATTGTTAGCGTATAGAAATATAATTTTTATATATGATCTTATTTTTGTAATCTTGCTGAATTTATTTATTCTAATAATTTTTCATTGAATTCTATGGAATTTTCTCTATATAAGATCATGTCATCTGCATTAGAAATAATTTTATTTCTTCCTTTCCAATCTGAATTACTTTTATTTCATTTTCTTGCTAATTGCCCTGGCTGAGACCTCCAGTACAATGTTGAGTAGAAGTGGCAAAAGCTGACATGTTTATCTTGTTTCTGTTTTTAGGGGGAAAGTATTTGGTATTTTGCTATCAGGTGTGATAGTAGCTGTGGGTTTTTTGTAGGTGCCTTTTAATGAGGTTAAGAAAGTTCCCTGTTGGTCCTAGTTTGTTGAGTACTTTTTAAATCATGAAATGGTGTTGGATTTTGTCAAATGCTTTTTCTGTGTCTATTGTAATGCTTGTGTGGTTTTGTTTTTTATTCTATTAATATGGTACATTACATTGATTAATTTTTGGGTGTTAAACCAACCTTTCATTCCTGAAATAAATGGCATGGACCATAGTGTATAATCCTTGTTATGTTGCTGGATTTTATTGAGGATTTTTGTATCTGTATTCATAGGCAATACTGGCCAACAATTTTCTTGTGGTCTTTGGTTTTGGTAGAAGGGTAGTGTGGGTCTCCTAAAGTGAGTTGGGAAGTATTCTCTTCTGTTTTGGGGAAGAATTTGTGAATAGTTGATATCAATTCTTTAAATATTTCATAGAACTCACCAGCGAAGCATCAACATCTGGGATTTTCATCGTGAAAAGTTTTACAACTATTAATTCAATTACTTTTTGTACCTCTATTCAGATTTTCTATTTTTTCTTCAGTTAGTTTCAGTAGTTTGTGTTTTTGTAGGATTTTGTCCATTTCATCTAAATTACCTAATTTGTTGGCACACTGTTGCTCATAGTATTCCCTTATAATTCTCTTATTTTTGTCAGGTCAGTATTGATGTCCCCTCTTTTAGTCATGATTTTTACTAATTCTAGCATCTTTTTTTTTTTAATCAGTCTAGCTAGAGGTTTGTTGATTTTGTTGATTTTTTCAAAGAATCAGTTCTTGGTTTCCTAACTTTCTCAATTGTTTTCTATTCTTTATTTTATTTATTTCCATTCTAATCTTAAATTTTTTTCCATCTTCTGTTTGTATTTAGTTTAATTTTTTCTTATTTTTTAATTTGTTGAGTCGCAAGTTTTGTTATCGATCTTTCTTTTTATTTTTAATTAGGTATTTACAAGTAAAAATTATCTTCTAAACATTGCTTTAGCAGCATTCAGTACATTTTAGTTTGTTTTTGTTTCTGTTTTTTATTTATTTCAAGGTATATTTTCTAATTTCCTTTGTGATTTCTTTTTTAACCCATTAGTTATTTACAAATGTGTTGTTTAATTTCTGCATATTTCTTTCTGTTATTGATTTCTAATTTAATCCCATTATTGTCAGAGAATATACTTTGTATGATTTCAATCCTTTTTATCTTTATTAGGGCTTATTTCAAACCCATTTTGCTAATTTCTCTTTTTTATTGCTTAATTCATTCAATGTAATCATTGATGAGGTTAGACTTATGACTGCCATTTTGCTATTGTTTACCATCTGCCTTATGCTTTTGTTCCTCTAGGACTCCTTCTTCGTGTGAAATAGATATTTTCTAACATACTATTTTCATTTATTTGTTATCTTATTTACTATATTTTTTTGATTTTTTTTTGGAGTTGTTTGAGGGATTACAATTAGCATCAAAACTTCCAATAATCTAGTTTGAGTTAATACAAACTTACTTTCAATATTATACAGAAACTTTGCTCCAAAATTGTTCTGCTCCACTCCTTGTCTCCTACTTTGTGCTATTATTGTCATATAATTTAAATCTTTATACATTATCAGCTCATCCACACAGTTTTATAATTATTGCTTTACGTAGTTAGTTGTCTTTTAAATTAGATAGGAAGACTAAAGTATTACAAAAGATACATTTACACTGTCTTTCATTTTTTGCCTATGTAGTTACCTTTACCAGTGCCATTTATTTCTTCGTGTGGACTAAAATTATGATCTAATGTCCTTCCCTGTAGCCTGAAGGAGTCCCTTTAGTAATTCCTGTAGGGCTTGTGTGCTAATAACTGATTTTCCCAGTTTTTATCTATGGAGGTCTTAATTTCTCCATTGATTTTAAGTAATAGTTTTGCTAGAAATAGAATTCTTGGTTGACAGCTTTCTTTCAACACTTTAAATATGTCTTCCCATTGCCTTTTGGCCTTTATGATATACAATGAGAAGTCAACCATTAATATTATTGAGGATCCTTTGTATTTAATGAGTCATTTTTCTCTGGGTGATTTCCTGATTCTCTTTTTGTCTTTGGCTAACAGCAGTTTGCCTATGATGTGTCTAGATGTGTATCTCTTTGAGTTTATACTATATGGAGTTCATTGAGATTCTCAAATGTGTATTTTGTTTTGCATCACATTTGTGAAGTATTCAGCTTTATTACATCAAACTTTTTTTGTCCCCTTCTTTTTCTTCTCTCCTCCTGAGATTCCCATTATGTGTATACTGGTATCCTTTGTGGTGTCTCACAGGACTTGGAGGCACTGTTCATTTTTTTCTCCCATCCTCTTTTCTTTCTGTTTCTCAGATTGGATAGTTTCATTTCACCTATCTTTAAGACTGTTGTGTCCCCTTTCTGTCAGTTCAGATCAGCTTTTGAGCTCTTTTAGTGAATTTTCATTTCAGTTATTATTCCTTTCAATTACAGAATCTTTCCTTCCTTCTTTCCTTCCTTCCTTCCTTCTCTCCTCTTCCTCCTTTTTCTTTCTCCTTCTTCTTCTTTTTGTTTTTTTAATCTCTTTTTGATGTTCCTTATTTCATGAGGCATTGTTGTCAAGCTTTAATTCTTTAGATGGTTTCCTTTAGTCTTTTGAGTATATATATATAAAAGCTGAAATATTTAAAATATTTGTCTGCTAAGTCCAACATCTGAGTGTCTTCCTCATCCCCCTCATCAGGGAAGTTTCAAATGACTATTTTTTTTTTTTTATTAACCTGTCTGGAGGTCATGCTTTCCTGTTTATTTGCATGTTTTATAATTTTATATATATTTTTTCTCATAAACTAGACATTTTAGATATTATAATATGACAGTTCTGGAAATCAGATCTCCCTCTATGAGAGTTTACTTTTGTTGGTAATTTTTTAATGTTGTTTTTGTGGTTGTTGCTGTTTGTTGGCCTAATAACTTTCCTAGACAAATTCTGTGAAGCATGTATTCCCTGTAGCATGTAGTCACTGAAATCTTTGCAAGGTTATTTTAGTGGTTGGCTAATGTTGGTCACATATTTCCTTAAGTACCTTGAACTAATAAGTTTTTCATCCTTTGGTGAGTGGCTTTGTGTGCTTTGAGATTGCTTTGAATGTTCAGGAAGCTTACAAGTCTGTCTTAGCCATAACTTTCTCCTTTCACAGGGTCTCAAGGACACCCAGGGGGAAATATTGCAGACCTCTCTTGTCTTTCTTGGGTATATGCACAGCCCTGCATATGCTTATGGACTTCTAGATTCCCAGGAATATGTCAGAGCTTTTCAAATAACTCTTTGGACATCTCCTCTCCTAGATCTTCTTTTTAAGTTTTTTACCAGGTTCTTGTTTTCCCCATCTGCTATTACATCCTCAAAAAGCCGCAATTTTAAAGTGTTGCTGCTGCTAATAATAATAATATACATAATCATGCATAATAATATACATAATACATTATTATTATTATTATTATTTTTGGGGAAAAAAAAGCTCTGGGGTTAGGGCTTTTCTTCAAAGCAGTTCTGAATTAGGACAAATAACTACGGGGCTTTTTCAAGAAGCTGACAGATGAAGTAATGACAATGCTCTGGGGATGGGACTTTTTGAGGGCTTTAGCCTGGTCTCCAAACCATGTCTGGTAGGTGGGAGGCAGCTGTTTTCAAGGCAAATGCAGAACTGGGGAGAGGGAGCTAGGAGTATAAGTTATAGTGCCAAAGTCCCTGCTGTTCTGATGGTGTTTCCACCTATGGAGTCCCATTTCATCCATAACATCATGCCTTTCAAGTATCAATCAATAATGGATTAAATCCACTAAATGAGCAGAGCATTTATAGTGAATACTAGCAAAGAGGTGTTTATGGTAATGAGTGACAAATTAGCCCCTCCAGTTTTGCATGGGAAACACTATGTTCAAGACTGTGGGCACCAGCCTTTTTGTTGTTTATGTCCACATTTGTCAGTTCTTTAAGAATTATGGTAA